GATGGGGCCGTGATGTGGACCGTGGCCCTGCTTTGACCATCCTATGGACCGTGGGGAGGGATGCGGCCGTGGCGTGGACTGTGGGGAGGGATGGGCCGTGATGTGGACTGTGGCCCCCTCTGACACCTTTCTCGATTCTTGTCTTGCAGACTTCTCCACCCAGGTGAATTCCTCGTCCCTCAGCTCGCCGACAGGACGTGGGCCCATGGCTGCGTCCTCACTGCACCCGTCGCTCGGACCGGCCATCGGCTCCCCCGGCCAGCTGCACTCTCCTATCAGCACCCTGAGTTCCCCCATCAATGGCATGGGCCCACCCTTCTCGGTCATCAGCTCGCCCATGGGCCCCCACTCCATGTCCGTGCCTGCTGCACCCACCCTGGGCTTCGGCACAGGCAGCCCCCAGGTGAGCTCTGGGCTGGGCGCGGGACAGGGCAGTGTGCCCGGCTTCACTGCGCGGCCAGCGCCTGACTGTGGTCAGCGTCACATGCTTGGTCCCCAGCCCTCCTCAGATGGCCAGTTCCCGGTCTGCTCTGCTCCTTCTCTCCTCCCTGGGGCCCGGGGCAGCCTCTGTGCCTCATTCAGACTCATCTCTTGGAAACCTGTGTTCCTCATATTCAGGAGATGTGGGTGGAGTTCAGGGCATGTTCCCCCCCAAAACCACAACCGCAAACCCCCAAGTTGGCGGAACAGTGAGGTCCTCTAACTCCCGCCGTCTCTGGGGAAGGCTTGCTGTCCACAGCCAGGAGTGGGGCCAAGGGCATCGTCTGCCCACCAGCCCTGCTGGCAGGGCAGAGGAAGCTGGCAAGGGTCTGGGGAGAGCCAAGCCACCCACAGCCACCTGGACCCTGAGCTGTTTGTCTCCCCTGAGGGTGTCGAGCCTGCCCGCTTTGAAGGGTTAGAGGTGGAACTCTATGCCAGGGAGCCTGGGCAGAGCCGAACCCCACATCTGAGATACCCTCAGATTTGGACTGCCTTGGGTGTCTTGGAGCCCTGCTCCCTAGTGCCATCAGGGTGTGCTCAGAACTGCAAGGGCACTTGCCCATGTGTGTGACTGGCCCTCTCTGTGGAGTGAGTGGGCTCCCAGGAGCAGAGGCCTGGGGAGTGGCCTGGTACTAATGTGGGCACCCGACTGTCCTGGCACCTCTGGGAGCTGGTGATGGTGGACACTATGAAACCTCCTGACCATTGAGGTGTCCCCCGCTGTGTCACCAAGCCCCTGAGGACAGTCTTTCCAGAGGGATAGTGCAGCCCACAGCGGAGCGCCCTGCCCATGTCCAGCCCCCATTCAGGACTGGGGCCATGCTGCCCCTTACCCTGGACTGTCCCTCTGCCAGGGCAGCGGCGCTGTCTAGCAGGCCAGAGTGGCGCAGTGGCAGCGCGCCATGGCTGGGGAGGAAGGGCGTGCCGGGTGTCGCAGGCGGGGCTGATGGAGCTGTTTGAGGAAATCCCGTGGGCAGTGGTGGTAACAGGAGTGAGTGTCAGGGATCTGAAACAGGAAATGGATGGTGTCCCCGCTGACTGTGCAGAGGTGCCCCTAGGAGGTGGGCAGGGGTCCTGGAGAGCAGTCCCGTTGGGTGGAGAGCCCAGGCTGGCCACTCGGAGCTGGGGCGTGCAAGTGGACCGTCCAGGTGGCCTCCATGCATCGGCCGTTTGGCCCTGGCTTGAGGGAGACAGGACGGGGATGAAAGAAGTTGGGGCCAGGACAGGGAGGCACGTGCGTAGCACTGATTGTGGTGGGCAGCAGGTGCCCCCAGAGGACTGGTCTTAGTGGACTGTGCCCCCCCCTGCTGCCGAGGCTCTGACTGTGTCTCCCCGGGGCAGGTGCCAGGCCCCTTGAATCAGGCAGGTGGTCCTCACTCATCAGGGCTTCGGGCAGCCGAGTTCTCCCGTGGGTGTGCGTGTGGTCCTGCCAGCCTGGCCAGGCGGTCTCCCACCACATGGAACGAAAGGGCTAGATCCCAGAGGGGGTCTGATGCCCACCTGTGGTCCAGGGGACTCCTGCCCCACCTCCCACACTCCTGGCTCCATATTGCTGCTGTCTCAGTGTGGACAGTGGCACACCACGCCTGGGAGGGTCAGGGATAGAGTCACAGTTGGTCCCCTGAGGCTGACCTGTCCCCTTTCTGAGCCTTCCTGTCACTCTCTGGCCTCCAGGCATCAGCTGTGGACTCTTGGCTTGGGACGCCCGTCCATCCTGACAGGCGATGTCCTGTCAGTCCTTGGCCACACACACGTGTGGACTGCAGTGCTGGGCCCTCCTCTCGGGTGGGCATGCAGGACTGAGGGCTTGGCCTGTGAGCAAGCTCTAGCACTCTGCCAATTTAGGGGGCCAGGGGGCCTCCCTTGTGAGCCCCAGAATCAGGCTGTGAGATGAGCCGGAGTCCGGAGCCAGGCGGTTTTCTGGGAAACGCCAGGCTAGACTGAGCGGCCAACAGGGAGCCCTGTAGCCCCTCTGTGTGGCCTTGTGGGGTCGTGTGTGACCATCTGTCCTGCCCCGCGGTGAACCGGTCAGGGCCTGCTCTCAGCACCTGTCCTGAGGTTGGACGTGCGGGGGATTAGTGGACCAGGGAGTGAGTTGGCGACTCTTTCAGTGACTGGCTCTGAGCAGGCGCTGCCCGCCTTGGCCTCAGCTTCTCCATATGCAGCTCGAGGATTGTGACGTGAGTGACCCTCTCACGCTTAGCGAGGCCCAAAGCTCTGGCAGAGAGCAGACGGACGGTGTGGACAGGGCTGGCACCCTCATCTGGGTAATAAGCAGCATCTCATCTCCTGGGTGCCAGACGAGTGGGTGCATGCCTGGACACTGGCTCTGAGGGGTCTCTGTCCGCAGTACCAACCCCCAGACTCCTCTGTCGATGGGGGTCCTGGTTCTTGACAGCCTCAGCCTTCCCTGCAGCCATCAGGGATCCAGGGGCCCACGACCCTGCCAGGCCCCAGCCCATAGGGGCCCACAGGCTTGCCTCAGTGCCCAGCCCCCAACCGAGCCCCAGGCTGGTCCCTCTGTGGGTGGGGGGAGGCTGGCGCACACCAGGCTGGGGGTGGGGTGGTTTTTGCTGTGCTGGCTTCCTGTCTCATGAGGAAGGGGCCTGGGAGTTGGGGTTCTAGGGAAGGAAAAGAGGAGGGGGCTGGAGACACTGGGGCTACCAGGGGGCAGCGCAGACAGCTGCCACCCGCCCCAGAGGCTCCTGTGGCCTGTAAGTTCCGCCTTTGCTGAGGGTTTGCAGAAGTGCGGGTGTGGGGGCAGCCTGGCCTGGGGTCCTGCCGTCCTGGGACACAGGCTGGTGGGAGTGGTGCAGGGACACCAGGGCCTCTGCACCCGCAGACAGGACGGGGGGCCGGCACTCGGGCTGAGGCCGCAGCGGAACTGCTGTGTCATTGCAGCGGCTGTTGCCGGGGCGACCGGGTGAGTTTCCCACGCCTCCTCCTGGCACGCGGCGCGCACCCAGCGGTGCAGGGCGGGGGTGGGGCGTGCGGTACACGACTCCCATCTGGGGTCTGCCCTCTCCGTGGGCCATCAGGGACCCCAGACCCTGCCTGCCAGCTTCAGGCCAGGCTGTGTAGTGGGTAGTGCACTCCGAGGGCATGCTGGCTCTCCATCTGCATCCTGACCTGTGTGCTGGGTACCAGCTCTACCCCCTGAGGCCGTCCCCAGGCTTATCCACGCACATGTGCCCCAACCCTACCCGCAGTGGGCTCTGAGGGTCGGTCAGGGAGGGAAGGTCGGGAACTGTGGGCCTGGGGTCCTGGCAGTGCTGCGGGGGGTCTTCCATCGTGTGACCCCTGCTCCATGAGACCCTGTCTGAGAAGATGGAGCCCCAGGTCCCAGGAGCCTGGCTGAGCACGTCCAGCTGTGCGTACAGCTGACAACTGATTGTGCGGTCCCAGTTTAGGTTATGAAACAGGGACGAGGTGTCCTCTTCATGGGTGGGTGGGTGGCGCAGGGTATACAGCTGGCGCTCAGCTTGTCTGTGAGGAGGGGACACGGTGGTGTCCTCCTCACTGGTGGGCTGGGTATGCAGCTGGTGCTCAGCTTGTCTGTGTAGTGGGGACACGGTGGTGCCCTCCTCACTGGTGGGCTGGGGTCCTGGGTATACAGCTGGCGCTCAGCTCCTCTTTAAGGCAGGAGTACAGTGGTGCCCTCCTCCTGTTAGGTATGCAGCTGGCGCTCAGCTTGTCTGTGTAGTGGGGACACGGTGGTGTCCTCCTCACTGGAGGCTGGGGTCCTGGGTATACAGCCAGCACCCAGCTTGTCTGTGAGGTGATGACACAGTGGTGCCCTCCTCACTGGGGGCTGGGTATACAGCTGGCGCTCAGCTTGTCTCTGAAGTGGGGACATGGTGGTGCCCTTCTCATTGGGGGTGCTGGGTATACAGCTGGCGCTCAGCTTGTCTCTGAAGTGGGAGATGGTGGAGCCCTCTACGGGAGGGTGGATTTTCAGAGGCACCGCGTGGTCCCTTCGTGGCCTGTTGCCCACCAGCCCTTCCTTTCTTCCGCAGCTTAACTCACCCATGAACCTGGTCAGCAGCACGGAGGACATCAAGCCCCCGCTGGGCCTGAATGGTGTCCTCAAGGTCCCCGCCCACCCCTCAGGGAACATGGCTTCCTTCACCAAGCACATCTGTGCCATCTGTGGGGACCGCTCCTCAGGTAGGCCGCTGGCAGGGGGCTTGGCAGGAGGTGGAGGGGCCAGCCTGGTCTACTGCGCTGGGCCAGGGCCACAGTGTGTGTGGCAGGAGACCAGAGGTGGGCCAGAGAGGAAGACGTCCTCACTGGTGATGGTGACAAGGGGACAGAGTCAAGACGGAGGCCCCTGACGTGGGCTCCGAGCTCCTTGGTTGGTCCAGGACCTGCTGCTTGTCCTCCACCCTGGAAAAGCACCTGGCCGGTGTCTGGAGTGTGGGGGACACAAGGCGGCCGTGGGTGGGGGCCTGGCCACTGGGGTGCTGACTGCCTGCCTTCCACAGGCAAGCACTACGGGGTGTACAGCTGTGAGGGCTGCAAGGGCTTCTTCAAGCGGACGGTGCGGAAGGACCTCACCTACACCTGTCGGGACAACAAAGACTGCCTGATTGACAAGCGGCAGCGGAACCGGTGCCAGTACTGCCGCTACCAGAAGTGCCTGGCCATGGGCATGAAGAGGGAAGGTAGGGTGGGGGAAGGGCCTGGCCATGGGCATGGAGAGGGAAGGCAGGGCAGGGAGGGACGTGACTGTGGACATGAAGAAGGGTGGGTGAGTAGCAGGGTGGCCGGGGGGCGGCGCGTAGCTGGGTCAGGGACTCTGTACCTCGCCTTTCCTGCCGTTTTTGAGGGACCTGAGCTGGGTGCCTGCCAGCATGCTCACACTGTTTTGGGAAGGGATAACGTCTCCACTCCACAGTCCAGATGTGTGCCCGCTGGAACAGCCCTGCCCGGGCATGTACCCTCCAGGGCATCCCCCCGGGACTGCATCGGCCATGGCTGTGCCCCTAGGACCCCCTGGGGCACTCTGGGCTGGAACCTGAGTTAGGGGCCAGTTCTCTGATTGATGTGGGGCTGGGGAGGGTGCAGGACACGTCATGGAAGTGTTCACAGCTCAAGCAGACCCGAGGCTCACCCAAAGCTCAGCCCCTGGCTGTCCGCAGGCCGGTTCCCCTGGCACAGGCGGTCGTGGGGTTCTGCGTGAGACCTGTGCCCAGGTGTCTGAGTTTGTAAGCGAGTCAGGTGCACCCTGTGCTTCTCAGCTCCTGCTAGTGCCAGAGAAACAGAAATAGACAAGGCCATCTTGCATCATAAAAGTTACAGGTCAGAAGCCCTCAAGGACAGTTGTGCTCTGGCCTCAGGGACCCCATGAGTGGAGTCCCGCTCATGGCCAGGGTGGGTGCAGGGAAAGGCTGGAAGCTTTTCCCACGCTGTACAAGGGGCACGTGGGGCCCAGGAAGGAGACTGTGGACAGGGCTTTGTGGTGGGCAGGCCCTTGTGCAGTATTGCCAGCAGGTAGGAGGTGCAGGCTACCGTCTCCCCTCGTTGACAGCCCCTTACTCTCAAGTGAGGTTTCATCCCTGCTTTGATAGGTGGACGTGGGCACAGGGCAGTCGAGGTTCATCCAGCCCTGGCCTGGGCCTCTGCCTTTTAAGGTTGGAAGGTGCTTCTTGGGGTCAGGTTTTGAGTGGCCTGCACGCTAGTACTAGAGTCTCCACTGCCATTGGTCACTGTAGCTGTCCCGTGGCCCATACGTGACTGGTGACTTGTGTCCCCTCCTGACTGGCCCCTGACAGACCCCTGAGGGCCTTTTCACCCCCACATATGAGGAGGAGCTGATTGGCTCCTAAAAGCCTCCCGGGTGTCGAGAGGCAACTGGATTATTGAATTCCTCACTTTATTTGTTTATTTTACAAATCTCTTGGCATCTCTGTAACCTCAATTGTTCTCGCTGAGAAACCAAAACCCCAGCTGGGCCAAGAACTCCTGAGGGGTTTCCTTCTTGAGCCTGGGCTGGGACAAGGCGGGAGGCAGGAAGTGTGGGGTGGCCGCGTCTCCGTCCTGTGGCCCCTGGGCTGCCGGAGACTGGGCCGCAGGAGGGAGGCCTGGGAACCTGCGCAGCGTGGCACGGCTTCCGTACCGGGCCTTGGGGTTCACGGGGTGCTGATTGCTCACTGGGCTCGTCCTTGGCTGTGTGATGGAGAAACTGAGGCCCAGAGGGCTGGAGGCTCCTTAGGGTCACTCTGCGCTGGCTCCAGTCCAGGCCTCATCCCTTGCCAGTTGGGAGGTTCATGCCCAGCTCCAGGTTCCCGGGTACCGTGCGGTCCGGGGCAGGCGGGGCGACCACGGTCTCCTGTCCTCAGAGTGCTGGTGGGAGAGTGTGTGGGGTGGACCTCAGGAGGCGCAGGCCCCTGGGGACCCTGCAGTGAGAGCCGCAGAGGGCAGGACAGGTGGGGATAGCCATGTCCAGCGATGCCTCGGGGATGGGGCACCCACAGAGTCACCTGCAGCTGCAGCCTCTGCATAGAGGAGGCCCCAATGCCTGCTTTACCACAGACAGGCAGCCCCACAGATGGTCGCTCCAGAGCCCGTGGGTGCCAGGAGACCCGAGAACCCAGGGCATGCCGGAGCCCCGGGTCCTCCCACTCCGCCATCAAGGCTGTGTTAGAACCCCACGCTGCCCACCCCCGGTGCTGCTGTGACCCCTTCCACAGACTGAGAGAAGAGGTGCAGCCCCATTTGGGGGCAGCCTGAGTAGGTCCTACGTCAGAATCCTGCTGGACACTCCAAAGCCGGGGGGAGCCCCAAGCCACACACCGCCTCCTTCCGTGTCCGTAGGGCACCCGGGCCATGTGGGCAGCAGGACTTATCTGTGGGCCGTTAGATGAATACCTGCTCCAGCACGGACCTTGTCCCTTGTCTTAACTGTACTTACAAGTCCTTAGTGAGTTAGGGAGCTCTGGTGACGGGTGGGAAGGTGTTGCACTGTCACCCCAAAGGGAGGCAGTTTGAACCCTCCAGCACCTCTCGTGTGCGGCCTCCCAGGTGCTTCCAGCCGCTGAAACCCTCCTGAGGGTCTGCTCTGTCAGTTCTCTTGAAGTGAGCACTGACCATCCCAGAATCCCCTCACACCCGACACAACTCGGCCCCTGGAGCCGGGATGCGTGGGGGGCTCCGTGCCGATCTCTGTCCTCAGCCGTGGGAGCCCCTCCCCGTGTGCACTGCTGCCACACGGGATGTGTAGCGGGTGGTCTGCTGGCAGCCAGCGGCTGGGTGGTGCCTGTGGCCCCCACAGAGCCAGTCTGCCCTCGGCTTCCTGAGCCAGCTAGTTCCAGGAGTCCCACGCGGGCCCGACGGCTGGCTCCATATGGAGGGCATGAGGGCCTGCTGGACCCCCGCACCGGCCAGGTGGGCCTTGATGCCTAGTGATCATACCCCGCTGCAGATGAGAAAACTGAGGCTTGCACAGTGTGGTGTGGGGGACAGCGTGCTGGGAGGACCCTCGAATGCTGTGGCACTGCCCGGAGCAGCCCGCACTGGCCTGGGGCTGATGTGTCTGGGTCGGGCCGGCCGGCCTCCACCCCACACTGGCCACGCAGGCTGGGGCACTGCTGCCGGCCGATAGCATCTGACGTTGGGCAAGAACAGGGCTTGTGCACACAAGCCGCCGCCCTGGACCCGTTCTGCAGCATTCCGGGGGGCGCGAGGGGGAGAGGAGGGGCGGGGGGCAAGGATGGGGCGCGCCACGGCACGGCTGGGGGCAAGGACGGGCATGCTCTGGGGAGGGGTGAGGACAGGCATCCCCTGAAGGTGGGAGGCAGCTGAGGAATGATAAGACCAAACATATCCCACTGGGCTGTGGCCCTCCACCAGGTGCAGACCTGGCCTGTCTGCTGGGGTGCCTGGGTGTCTTTGGGGGGCTTGCACACATGCCCTAAATTATGGGGAAAGACCTTAGGGGCTTCTGTCAGCCGATGGACCTGTCTCCTACCCTGAGGTGACACAGCCTGGCTCCTCTCCTCCCCTCCCTGTTTCCTTCCTGCTCTCTCTGCTTCCTGCCCCTGGGCCCTGGCTCCCAAGGAGACGATAGGGAGTGTGTGTGCGTGTGTGCGTGTGTGTGCGTGTGTGTGTACTCACGGGCAGGGGTGTGTATGCATGCCTGAGTGCACAGGTGTGTGTCTGACTGTGGGTATGTATGAGGGTGTGTGTGTGTATGTGCCTGTGTGCACGCGTGTGACCACGAATATATGTACACATGTGTGTCTGCCTGTGTGTGTATGTGTCTGAATATGTTCGTGCATGTGTGATGCATTCCTCTGGAAACTATGAACTTTGATAAATGACGATGGTTCTAGAAAGGCTCCAGGCCTTTTGTTCATAGGGTCGCTTTGTTGTGCTCAGCTCGACGGCAGTCAACAAAAACAACATGTGTGATGCCAGAGTCTGCACACAGCCCTGCGTGGCCCTGAAAGCCTCATTTGCAGGGAGGCCCTGGCTGGACTTGAGGGGAGCCCTGAGCCCTTCTGCCTTTGAGATGAGTCTGTTTCCTCATCCGCTCTCTACACTTGATGCTGAGCTGAGCTGCACCGTCCGGCCGTGCCCCTCTCTGCCCACTCCCCATACCTGGTGCTCAAGTGAGTCACCTTGCCCCCCACAGCACCCCCTGTCCTGTCCCTGCAGCCTGTCCCCCCCATAGTCTGTCCCCCACAGCACCCCTGGCCCGTCCCTGCAGCCTGCCCCCCATGCCCCACACTGAGCCCTTGCCCCACAGCGTCCTCTGGCTGCGTCCCTGGGGCCCTTGCCCCAGGCTGAGCCCCACAGCCACCCCTGCTCCCAGTCCCCACGGCCGTCCCTGTGCCTGGGGCTGGGTTGTATTTACAGACGCCTCCCACCCAGGCTTTCCGGCGCCAGCGCACTAAAGTCAACACGACTCCCATCTCAGAGGTGACGGCGCTGGCAGAGGGAGAGCCCTGCTCACAGGCCCCCGCCGTCTATAAATAAAACCACAATATTTATAATGATGCTGCCGGGGCCCTTCCAGCTTCAAAGTGCCTGGCAAAACACACGCTAATGAGTTCCTGCCACCCCCACACGGGAGGCAGGTGTGAGGAGCCCCTGTGCTGCCCCGCCCAGGCTCTGGGGCCCCAGGACGCAACCCCCTCAGGCCAGGTGACCACACTCGTGCCCTGAGGGCCTGCCCATGCCCACGTGGGGTCACCAGAAGACAGGGCCCTAGTTGTGGGGCTTTGGAAGGCAGGCGCCGTGGTTCTCATCTGTGGACATGGAGCCCCACACGGTGGCTTGGGACAGGGCAAGATTTGAGGGCCAGGCTCTAGAACTGGGGCTGCAGCTTCACCCTCCGCTGTGCGATATCAGCCACATCTGGCCTTGCTTTCCTTGCCTGGCAGCGTGGGGAGCTAGGTCTCAGCTGAGGAACACAGACCTCCCTCTGTGAGGACCCTGGGACCTGGGCGTGTTGTCTGATGGCCCTTCTGCAGGGTTCCCCCTGTCTGGGCACCCCTGCGGTGACCACACCTTTTCAGCATCCCCTGGGGAGGCGACTTGAAGCCTCAGCCCTGCCCCAGGAGTCTGGGAGGCTGGCCTTCTGAGGCCGTTCCAATCTACTGTCAGATTTTCCAGGTCTGAGCCTCGCGCATTGCCTGTGCCTGGCCATGTGGTTTGAGGGCTGGCACCTCTCCTGCCCTTGAATCTGGTCACCTGGCTAGAATGTCCCTCGAGCATCCTGTGGGGTTCAGCCCTGCATGGAGCCGGCTCGAAGCGCCCCATCGACTTGTGAGGGGCTTGGGACATGTGCTTGGGGAGCCAGCAGCCCTGAGGGGGTGAAGAGAAGCTCCGGAGACCCCCGACAGCGCTAGGACAGACGGCAGTGAGATGTCAGAACTGGACGTGGTGCTGGTTAAGAGAGTCAGATGGCTGGAGGGCAGCAGGGCACCCAGGCCTCGAGTGGGGTCTGCCCAGTGGCTGCTGACGGATGGGACTGAGTAGGGAGGACACTGAAGTGTGGATCGCTTCCTCTCCCACTCACCTGGCTCCATGCCAGACTCCCAGTAACCAGGTGAGGGGGCCAGCGAGGCTGAACGGGGACTCCCTGCAGACTGATACCTGCGAGGAGGTCAGGGGGTCAGTGAGGCTGTCCTAGAGGGTGAGGGGGCCCATGAGGCCATTCTGGAGGCAGAGGGGCCAGTGGCACCCTCCCTGAGCTGAGGGGTCAGCTGAAGCCACCCTGCAGGGTGCTGAGCCCATGGGGCCAGGTGCGGTTACTGTTGAGGAACTCTGCTGGTCAAGTGGGGTGTTGAGGGGGTAAGTGGTTAGGAAGGCCTCCCCTGAGCTCAGGGTGAGGCTGGGTTTGAAGAGTGGAGGGTGGATGCGATGTGGTCTCTGTCCTCTTGTTCATGGAGAGGTCTTGCGTATGAGAGCTGGACTGTGAGGCCCAGGTGGTCCAGGTGCCTGGGCAGCCCTTTGGAGCTGTGCTTTCAGAGGCTCGGTGCTGGACTTGGTCCAGGGAGGGGATGGATCAGAGGTCCCCATCCTGACTGCTGGCAGAGCAGGCTGTAGGGGACAGCTCGCGGGTCCAGTATCTCAATTATGAGCAGAGTGTGGGAGGCTGTGGAGGCTGGGTGCCCTGGGGAGGGGGCTGGGTGCCCTGGGGAGGGGGCTGGGTGCCTCCAGGGAGGGGGCTGGGTGCCCTGGGGAGAGGCTGAGTGCTTTCAGGGAGGGGGCTTGAAGCCCTCGGTGGACCACACAATGGTGTGGTGCAGGATGTATTAGAGGGGGACACCCACTCTGTGGTACGGGGCATGATTTTTGGGAGACAGCAGTGTGGATGCAGGGTATGTTTGAGGGGACATGTGCTGTGTGGGTGCAGGTGTATTTAGGTGGACGCACGTGTGGGTTCAGGGTGTGTCTAGGAGGACATGCACTGTGTTGTGTAGGTTGTGTTTGAGGGACACACTGTGGGTGCAGGGTGTGTTTGGGGGGACATAGCTTTTGGGTTCAGGGTGTGCTTTGCTGGCTCTGGGACCTGCTTACTTTCTCCTTTGCTTCTGAGCCTCAGTTTTCTGCATCTGTGAAATGGGGTGATGAAAGCACCTTTCTGCAGAGCTGATGGTGTCAGGGAGCTGCAGAGGGAGGCGGTGACGCGCTCAGGACCACTCCCAGGGGGTCAGGATTAACAAGCACAGGGGCGCTTATTGGGTGTTCAGGGCCACGGTGGTGGCTGTAACCCCCGCGGGGCCTCAGAGCTGGAAGCCGGGGGTGGGATGGAGCTCTGGGACTGTTCAGACGTCAGGGTCCTGTGAGAGAGAGAATGCCAAGTGGGCTAAGCTGTAGAGCTTGCCAGGGTAGACAGGTCAGAACTGGGCCTGTCCACATCAGCTGACCAGAACCCTGAGAGTGGTGCTGTGACCTTTGCTTTCTGAGACACCCCTTCTTGCTCTCCTTGCTCTTCCTGAACCCCTGGAGTCACTGTTTCCCAGCGAGCTGACTGGTCTCACTCTGCTGCTGTGTAGGGGACAGTCACAGCTGGCCAATTGGGGAGGGCCCCCTGTCCCTGGCAGCTCCATCCCCCAGAGAGCAGAGGTGGCCCAGGGTTTCCAGCCTTGGAACCCCCTCAGTGGTCTCTCGCCTCTGCGGGCCTCTCCTTGCATGACGCTTCTGTGGGTCAGTGCTCGAATGAGCCCTTCTCACCCCATCTGCTCCCCAATGCCCTTCCTTCCTGGGGTCCCAGGAACCATTTCACGCCCCAGCCAGCCCGCTGTGCCCCATCCTTGCTCTTCTGTCGGCCTCATGAGGCCCCGTTGGCCCTTCCCTGTAGTGGGACAGCACTTCCTGAGACCCTGGTCTGATGCTGTCTGTCCTGCGTCACACTGCCCTGTCCTGCTCCCTCGGAGACCTCCTCGGAGCCTGACCCTGTTCTGCCTTCCTGTCCCGCCCTCCCACAGCCGGGGCTTGTACCAAGTGAGCTCTGCTCTGAGTCTTCACAAAGGCTGCTTCTTCCACGTAGATGTTGCCTTTGTGTGGCCTCCTTCTGTGGTCAGAATGCCACTTCTCCCAGGCAGCCCCCCTGGCTTGCCCACCCTCTGAGCCCCATCAAAGCGCTTTTCCTTGGAGCTGGGGTCCTGCTGAACCCCTGTTTCTGAGAGCTCTTTGGGCTCATGAGAGAAGCAATGTGAAGGGGTGGGAGCACTTTGGACCCTTGAGAGTGTGGAGGTGGGCCCAGCGACCGCATGTGGCAGGTGCTGGTGGTGGGCGTGGACGCAAGTACTTGGGCTCAGACAGTGAATGGGAGGGGCGTGGGCGTAGGGTTGGTGCTGCCCACCCTGGTGGACCCGAGTTGTGGGCACAGGCTCAGGAGTGCAGGCTGACCGCCCGTGTCCTCACAGCTGTGCAGGAGGAGCGGCAGCGGGGCAAAGACCGCAGCGAGAACGAGGTGGAGTCCACCAGCAGTGCCAACGAGGACATGCCCGTGGAGAAGATCCTGGAGGCCGAAGTGGCTGTGGAGCCCAAGACAGAGACGTATGTGGAGGCCACTGTGGGGCTGACCCCCAGCTCGGTGAGTGCTTGGGCCTTGTTTTCCTCGTGGACTCTGCGGGCTCAGCCTTCTGGGCCTGGCGTGTCCAGTGGCTCGGTTGGTCATTGAGGGCCGTCCTCTCTCGGGATCCTGTTTACAGACCACCTTGAGGCCCAGAGAGCCCTGCTCTGTGCTGACCACTGCCTCTAGCAGCCCCCACAACCCTGATCTGTTCACAGTGGCCCCTTGTTTGCTTAGCTGCTTCTGCAGCCCAGACCCCCACTGCTGCCCTCAGGGACGCAGCACCTCTTAGACCCCCACTGGTCACCAGCCAGGACAGCCCTCCGGAGAGGACACCTCCCCTGTGAACGACACCCCCAGGCTCAGTGAGAGGTCGTCAGGCCAGCATCTTACCTGTCCTCTGCTCCGACCACCATCATTCTCAGGCTTTCCTTACACGGAGCCACTGTTGGGTGACACACCTGAGTCACCGAGGACACGTCCTCACAGGACCAGGTCTCATCCTCAGAGCACCTGTGGCTGCGTCAGGGGACAGGATGTGGCATCTCCGGGGTGTGGTCCTGACCACGATGTCCTCTCTCCACGCAGCCCAACGACCCCGTCACCAACATCTGCCAGGCAGCGGACAAGCAGCTCTTCACCCTGGTGGAGTGGGCCAAGCGGGTGCCGCACTTCTCAGAGCTGCCGCTGGATGACCAGGTCATCCTGCTGCGGGCGGGTGAGTGGGCACACTGACGGGCTCGGCGTGAGGGGCGTTGTGGAGAATGCCGCGGTGTACTGTGGGGCCTGGGCTTGACAGGAGGGGCTCAGGAAAGGGCTTTGTGGGAAATGCCATCCCAAATCTTAGTGCAGGGGCACATCCTGGGTTACCCTGTCTCCTGCCACCTGAAGCTTCTGGGGCACAAGGTTAGGGTGCAGACTCTGATTTCTGATTGGGTGCCCCTTAAGGCCCAAAGAGCATGACAGCTCTGTGCAGCTGTGGGCACCAGCAGATCCCACATTGTACCAGACATTCTGCCCCGAAAGGGGACCCGTCATAGGTCTGCTGTGTTCTGGATCCCTGGCTGACCCCTGAGGCCCTGGGTTCAGAGACACCATTGCTGGCCCTGAGGGCAGGCACCCTGAGGTTCTCTGCAGTGTCCAGATGCAGGAGGGGGAGCCTGGTCTTGAGGAGGGTGCTGCTTCTTCACCCCACTTTGGGATCATGCCTGGGGGTGGGAGGTGATGGCTCGTGCTGCCTGGGCTCAGGGGGCAGACGGCCAGAGACACAGTGCCCGCTCGCCCGCCACAGGCTGGAACGAGCTGCTCATCGCGTCCTTCTCACACCGCTCCATCGCCGTGAAGGACGGTATCCTGCTCGCCACCGGCCTGCACGTCCACCGTAACAGCGCCCACAGCGCCGGCGTGGGCGCCATCTTTGACAGGTGGGCCCCGGGGTGGGGTGGCGCTATCTCAGTGTGGGGTGACAGGACCCTCCTGTGAGTGTCGAGACACAGGTGAGATGGTGACACCGGCCAGGCTCAGAGTGAGAGTGTGGGGAGAAACTGATCAGTGTCTTCTCACTGTGGTGCTGCTGTCCCAGGGGCACCAGTGTCCCGTCTCCGTCAGCCAGCGTCTCCGTCGGCCGGGCTGCTGGAAAGGGGACATTAAAGATCCAAAGACATTGCCTCGATACCGAGGCCGACGTACCCGCATTAACATCACAGGTGTGCAACGTTACAGAAAGCCCGTCCCTGAGAGAGGGGTAAGGACACAGGAATGAGAGGCCTCGTCGACCAAGTGACCATATGTTTGAAGGACACAGTTCAATACACAACTGCTGGTTAATCACATAACTCGTTAACATTCTGGTGTAGGAGTTTCCATAGCTGTTTGTTGGGATTTTTAAAGCTTGTGGATTTATCTACGGGAGGAGTAATTGCTGTCTAGAGACCAGCTGATTCTCTGAGAGGTAGCTCCACGTGGAGATTGTTTCCATGTGTTTATGGGTAAATCCTTCACAGACTTGAGGCTTGTCTAGCCCCACACCTGACCGCCCGTGTGCACAGGTGTGCCCCTGCCCCGCACCTGACGGCCCGTGTGCACAGGTGTGCCCTGCCCCATACCTGACGGCCCGTGTATACAGGTGTGCCCAGCCCCATACCTGACCGCCTGTGTATACAGGTGTGCCCAGCCCCATACCTGATTGCACTGACGGC